CCCTCCCAATGGTGTCCCAAGCYRTGTGCTGCATCCTCTACTTTCATGTGACATTGGCACTCCCTAGCACAAAGATCCTTGCCACAACACCCAGCAAAGAGAGCCTTATGAAGGAACCAAGTCAAGAGTCCCAACTCACAGTTAAAAAAACAACCAAATCAACCCACATGATAATTCATATCTTCTCAAGGATTTGGAGAACTGATCTGCTAAGACCACCAAACCAAAGCTACAGTTTTCTTCCTCCTTATACACTCCTCCTTTATTCATACATAAACCTTAATCTTTGCTAACTCATGCAAAGTTTAGGCATGCTATTGTTATGGACAAATTCACAAAGGTAAAACACTGAGTGAAACCTTTACAAAATAATGAAGAAGAGTGCTTTGCATAAGGCCACAGAAAGTACAGTGTACACTTTTWAAATGTTTCCAATCTAAGATTACTGTGTGCAGTTCATGAAGCTTCTTTGCTTAATTTAYTCCTTTTTAATAATAAAACTAGGTACAATAAATCATTGTAATGATTTTGCTTTTTTAAATATTATTTTCTTTCACCAAGCATAGCAAAGAACGCTTAAGGCCAAAGGAAGCAGTTACATCCTTAATGGACATTTAAGAAGGAAGGAGGGAAGGAGGGAATTAATATAYGATTCTCTTGAACTACATATTTTTAAATTTTTATTTTTTAAAAAATCTTGCTATTCCACAACAGTAGGAAATGTCCCAAGCTACCTCAGGTAAGATTTTGTTATTATTTCCAGCAAAAGCAGTAGTTAGACACAGGACTATATTGCTTAAAGAACTCATTTTTGAATTCAGTTCCCTGAAAATCTATCATGGATAAAGTATCATATATCAGAATATTTCAGTGTAAGAAAAACAAATTAACTGAGTTCCTGGTATAAGCACACAGCTACAACACATCAAGGATAGCTTCTATTGTTGGTCATATATAATACATTATATATATTATATYTATTATATATAATTATAATTTTATGTATATATTAAATATCTACATTTTATATTAATTGCTTCCAAAGTGAARGGAGAAATCATTATAGTTACAAATCAAGAATCTGCTGGGCAAATTTCAGTTAAATCTGGGGTTAGCAAGGTTGTACATGAGGAGTGATCTGTTAGGCATTAACTGGAAGGCAAAGCACACACAGTGCCCTCTCCCAGTTAGCAAGAACAGGCACAAAAGAGCTTGAGAGCTGAAACTCTGTATAAACACCACACAATTCACTTTAACACACTGCTGGAAAGAGTTCCAGTGGGAAACTGGCATCTATTTCTGTAACATCTATCTCACTAACTGCTAAATGGAAATGTAATTCAAATGTTTCACCTGTGGCAACCAGCACACCTAACACATCTGGAATTTCTGCAACATCCCATCTTTGCAGAACATTAGCCTCTGCATATTATTATAAATATCCCATTCAATAGTCCCTGGGCACATTTCCCAAAACACAAGACTAAAGATAAATACTTAAGAGTTGGCTTACTAACAATAAGAAACCTTCACCCCCTTATGACAGCAGTTTAACCAAATGGAAATAYTGACATTAAAAATGTATTAGCTAAATCTGTGTATTTTTATTCATGCACTTTCTAAAATCRTATCACTAAATTTACCTCATATCCATTACACGGAGTTATTTACAATTATCTCCTGTGAGTACTTTTCAGGCTACAGATCATTAAAGAATAAACTATTTATCGCAAATATCCCAGATGTGCTATTTGGGCTTTGTGATTAATTATATATAATCACATTATCCCCTCTGTTTTGTGAATGCAGTAACTAAACAACTTTACATGCACCATAAATTTTGAAATCTAAAACACAACTGACATTTCCTACTCTTATGTTCCATTATCACATGTTCCGGTCTCGAGACTTAACATTCATTTTCTTTTCAATATTCATGCTTGTAAAATCCTGCTTTGCAAAAGCCTGAGTATAAAAGAGTCCTAAATAAGCTAAAACACAAATTTAATTCTTTGCAACATAAAAACATAACTGAAATTCTATTATTGCAGTAACTTTAACTSACCTTAAAGGCCTTGTTCTATTATTAGAAACTGAATAACTGCATTTCTATTTCTTACCTAYCATGGTGTAGCAAACAGAAGATGGTTCAACAAATAGGGAAGAGAACATGGGCGAGTGTTATATACATCACACAGTGTACAGCAGCAGTCCCTTCTGCATTGCTCCAAAAGAGTATCCCTTCCAAAGGGATRGCTGGGCATTTTGACAAACAAACTCCCTGCCAGATCTGGCTGGTTTACAAGGGGGCTCTGCTGAAGAAGTGCAAGTCCTTGGCCTTCTCCTAAAWTAGTTTTCATGTATGAAGATCGGTGAGCTACCAGCAAAGGATGCCCACCCGCACCAGCCAGAGCCATTCTCACACGCTGAGGAAGAAAGCCAGCTCAAGGTAGCTCGACAGCTACACCCAAGGCTGAAATGGCTGCCTCACACACCAGACAGAGCATCAACGACCTGCAATCACCCAGGAAAGCTGCTGGACCTTTTGGGAGCTGCCAGGACAAACATCCCGTAAAGCTGCCGGGAAGCCTGGGAGCCACCAAGGGCTCAGCAGCTGGCACAGCTGGGCTCTTCCCAGCTGCCAAAATGCCACCCTTCCCAAAACTGCAGTGTGTTACTATGGGARCATGTGCCTTATCTTTCAAAACTGCTCCATGTTTCCAGGGGAAGCTGATGAATAGAAGGAGACCACCAGTTCCTCAGCTTACAGGGGCTGCCATGAGGAAATGCTACAAAGTCTCAAAT